TTTTTTTTTAAACATGCTAGCTCATTTCTGCACCAGCATCAGAACCTTTATTAATTATTAAGATAGATCCTAGCAACAATCAGAATAAGTAATTACCCATACTGTCTAAGAATTTACAGATTAATGAATAGTACAAGGGGCATATGTTTACATCTTACCCAACTAGAATAGGGGAACTATATAATCATCTAGTATAGAATTTTTCTTAATTCCTAACAAAGTCAGAGGTACTGGGAGTGTTTTAACCTACCAATTTAATGGGAACCATCTAGTTTTAAACTTTTTCTAACTGAAATAATAGAAGAGAAAGATCCCAGCTTGAAAAAATAGTAGCTTTTTTATTACTTGAGAACTAGTTGCTTGTATTTTATTGATCTCATAGAACTTAATATATAGATTAATCCAATTGAAGGAGTGGTGTGAACACAGGATACCAATCAACTCTTTTAATCATCAATGATATCATCAGAACATATGAGGTGACCAGTAGAAGCTTGTTTACATTTAGTTACTAATGTGTTTTGTGTTAATCAATTAGATGTCAGGTAATATTGTGCTACCAGAAATTTAGAATCAAACTGAGGTAGGTAAAATCCTTCAAAAAAACTATAAAAAACCATAAATACTTTAAGAAAGTACAAGACAGTATATAAGAAAATGAATAATAAGCCTTTTCTTATTAACAAAATCTCTATTTCTTGTTATTTCTAACTTTGTAAAGTGACACTTCACTTGTTAATTCTTTTACTTCCTAGAACCTTCTTATTCTTAGTAGAGAAAGTACATATTTAAGTCTTTTTAGATCACTAGAGGCTCAAGTTTTTATTTAAAGGAATTTATAAACAAGTAAAAGAGGGTAAAAGAAATATATGAAGACAAGTTTCAAGTTGTTTTAATGAAAGTGTAAAGGCTTTATTAGCAAGGAAGTATAAAACTTCTTATGAATATCTTTTTTATATGTAATTAGAGGATTAATGAAAAGAGTTTAGTATTATATTATATTATATATTTATTATTATTTTTTTTAATATTATAATTATTTTCCTAAAGAATTTGTTTAATTAAAAAATATATTTTCAAAAAAAAATTTTTTTCTAATTATTAATAATATCATTAAAATATGTGAATATAATTAAAAACTAATATATTTAATATTAATTAATTATATTTAATAAAAATTATACTATTAAAAAGACCTGTGGATCTATAGCACAGTGGTAGTGCTCCCAGGTCACAATCACAAAGGTTTAGAGTTCAATACCACCTGAGGGCCAAGTGAAAAAATATTACGTACAATAAAATAATTCTATTGGATGACAGGTTAATACTTGTTATTGGGTGCAGTCCTGGCTATCTTACAGATACCTAAAATGAAAGGATCCACTGTAACACAGCATCACCTATAGCTGATCTTTATCAGATTAGGCCGGTTTATGGGTGTTGTAAATGATCAGTATCTTATTATTATTATTATGATAAGGTAGAGGAGGATGGGACTGATCTCGTGGTCAACCAGGACAGAAACTGGATTGACGAAAACACACTGTCGATCTTACCGACCAATAAGAAAGTTGTCAAGTTAAAAAGGCTGAAGTCCTGAAGAGAGTAAATATTGTACCGGTGGGATACTTAAAAGTATGGTCAAACTTGCCTATGATGAATTATTGAGAGATTTTGGTGGAAGAAAAAATCTGTAGATCATACCGAAGTCCTAAAACTGGGGACAGGTTAAAGTATACGCAATGGTCTGATAACTAGATTACTTTATAAAATTGTTTTAGAAAAAATTAAGAAAGCGTTGTGTGATTTCCCTTAATAGGGCTAGTTAGTATATATAGTATGTAATATATTTACTATATATAAATCATCATATATATAACATTATTTCATAATAAATAAAAATCACAGAATGGAAGACTATATGCCACCCAATAATATAATACCATTGAATTACCTGGATATCAAGATTAGGACCGGAGGACTGAGCCATCCAAGTTTCGACTAGCCTGTAAAGGATCCAAACATGGTAGAGATCATTTATATTACTCATTATCATGAAAAACATGGTAAGTAAATCCACTAAGGAACACAACACAAGCCCCTTGAAAGATCAATAAAAAATGGAAAAAGACACTAGTGGATCTTTGAAATGCTATAGTTCCAGGCAAAGCAGGGCAACTGATAAAAATAGTATTACTATGTGGTAAAATTGGTGAATTTAGATAGGATAAGATAGCTCAATTAAAGTTATATGAATCGCTCATGTAATCTAAAACTACTGAATACTCAATAAAAATTCGTCCTATCAGTTGGACTTAAAAAAAAAAAAAAAAAAAAATACTATTAAAAATTTAAAATTAAATTTAAATAGATAAAACTTATCATAAAACCATAAATAAGAATTTTAAAATAATTATAACAATGATAAAAGAAAAAACAAATCTTTTTATTATAAAAAATTTTTTAAAAATAGTTTGTTTCAAAAGTAAAAATATCTTCAAATATTTTGTAGTTAGTTTTTTTTTCTTTAGAAATTTTTTTATCAAAAAGATTTGTAAACAAGAAAAGAAGTATAATAGTGACTTTTGAATATACTTTTTAAATTTTTTTAAGAATAGTAATAAGGCTTTAGTAGTTAAGAAATTAAAAAAACTTTTGATAAACATCTTTTTCGTGTATGATTAAAGAATTAATAAAAAGAGTTTTTAAAAAACCAATAAAATATTTTTATTAATATTAGTTAAAAATATCAATTTTATATAAATAGTACATATACAGTAATAGATCTGTTTTTAAACCAAAAAGTATTGCATAATTTGTCACCCCGTGCATAAAAGAATTTTCTAATTTAGGTAATTTGTCATTGTCAATTTTCCTACAATTCATTATGGGTGATAACAATAAAGAATTTCGTAAAGACCTTTACGATATCATTATTAAACAAATATCTCGAAACAACGAGGTAAAAACTGCCCATAAATGCATCGAAACACTATGCAGAGTCGTAACCAATATATTGGACGACCCTAATGATGAAAGGAAACGCAAACTGAAGGAAACAACCAACACATTCCAATCAACTATACGTGGAGCCCAGGGTGGCGTCGAATTTCTTGTAAGACTTGGATTCAGGTCTAGAGTAATTAACTTTGAAAAATTCTATGTCTTGGAACTTTCAATCACCGAAGACTCTCCTGACATGGAAAAACTTAAAGTAGCTCAAGAATTACTCGCTGACTTCTTGAAGAAAGTTAAAGAACGTGCAGAATTAGTTTCTAATATGCAAGCCAAAGAAAAAATTGCAGAAGAGTTACAGAAGAAAGCAGTGTTAGAAAAGATTGAAGAGGATAGAGAAAATCGTGCAGCCGCCCGTGAAAGACTCAAAACGAGAAGACAACACCAAAAAGAAACACAAATAGTTGACGAAGAATCGAATTCTACTTCGACTAATGACCAACCACTACAGCCGGAACAATTTTACAAAACTTATCATCATTCGCACTACCGCCAGCATGATCATGAGGAGCAAGATGAGCTTTAGGAAGTTTTTTTTATGTATTTTACTTCTCGAAAGTTTGAGACACTGGTTTGTCATTCTGATGGAATCATCATTAGCTAAGATGTAACAAACTAATGTATCCGTTGTTAGCTTTAAATCGCAAAAATGTTCACTAGGTTTAAGCGTTAAATATCATCCAACATAATTTTCGTGAATTCCTGTTCATTTACTGTAGAGGAAGAATTAGTGAAACAACAAAGGCGCGTGAAAAGTCAAGAAAATTTATATATCTTAGTGTATGAAATTCGTGAATAAATTTTAAAGAAAGGATACTCTCTCCATCATCGTCCAAATCGAATTCATCAATCATTGCTTGAAGATCCTCTTCATCCAGGTTTTCACCCAATTCTTTAGCCACGCGTCTTAAGTTATATAAGGATATTTTTCCCGTGTTATCATCGTCAAAAAGTTGAAAGGCTCGATGAATTTCTTCCTCAGGTGACCGATTAAATATGCGCTCAGACACTGCAAACCAAGTCTTGGTAAGATGATCGTCAATATCATTACCGAAATTAAAAATTATACTTTACTAGCTTTATTAAAGTCCTCAAATGAGATTGTTCTACTGTTATTCTTGTCATATTGATCTAGGA